TGCGTTAATTTTGCAGTACTGAAAATAAAGTGACAAGGTTATCGACATATGCTCAAAAAGATTTGCATCCTACAAAAAGACAAAATACTTCCTGCTTAACCTGAACGCAGACACTTACCAAAACGAATCCGTAATAACCCGTGTATTGTGGCAAGAACTTAAATGTCTCGTTTTATTACGCTCTCGTGGCTGAGATCAGCATTAAAATTGCTGACACAGAAGGACTTTTATATGAACCTAGCTTTATCAGAAGGACGAGCAGCGCGGAAAATATATTTGTTCTCCCCCCCCTCCCCCTTAAATTTGACGTGTCTCACTCCGCCCCCCACTTCCTGTTCCGTCTATCTCATTCAATTTGTTCAGGCATTCGGCTTTAGGAGATTGATCACAAAACATTTATAATAAGATGTTTAAAAATAAACCATACGCAGAGTCCAATAACCAAAAGTGGAAAATGTCAACTAATTTTAACGAAAATAACGTAAAAATTCGTTAAGCTGTTACGTCTCTGTCATGTGCTTGCTACGTTCTTCATCGCCCTGACAGTGGTGACATCTACCGGACTGCACGGCGCAACAACCCAGGAGACACCACGAGAAATCTCAAATCTTTGCCGGTTTTTGACGAATTTTCGTACTTAATTTTTCTCTGGAGGTCCTCGCCCCCGTTTCAAAATAGCTTTATATGGTTTCGGGTACAAATAATTGCCCACTCCTGTGGCAGTACAGTGATGTTCGGCCCATACCAAGTTTGATGTAAATCCGTCAGTTGGTTCAGAAGTTATTACGAAGCAGGGACATGGTTTATACTACAAATGAGCTGAGTATCTTTCGTTGTTTTGTAAATAAGGAAAAGTGAACTAAAAATTGGCCTTGGAGGATTAAGAATTGACAAACCATGACCCCGAGTAAAAGCCACAACTTTATTTTAAATTATAATTATGGCAAAGTGGAACCATTGTGTTTGTTGTAATTTATTATTTTCGCGGCGTTTGGCTTTAGAATTATTTCGAAATCTGAATGTATGAATTGTGGATGTGCAGTGTAATGGAAACACCGTTATTAAACGTGGCCCATTGATTTTTTAACAACTGAAGGTTGCTTAAGCGAATCAAAGTTTGTTTCTGTTCATGTTAAGAGTCAAGGTTTTTAATAGGATAATACATATCTGCTGGTTGAGCGACAGGTCCATATGAACAGGGTCCTTCCATCCTTTTCTCGGACTGGGCCCTGTTCATATACGTTCTTGGCAGATGATCCCGAAGTGGTTTGCCATTGCCTTCTTCTGTGTGTGAATGGAGTAATTGTTGGGATGCCACGGAGGAAAACTCCGTGTTGCCTAGACCACGGCCTTGCCCAACACCATTAAGACAACATAATTTATGGTTGTGTGTGTCTGAATCTTCACCTAAAATTCGTTCTGTCCTGCCGTTCGTAATTTTCTGAATTTCGCAGGGTCTAACACCCCTCAAGCGTTGACAATCTGCAGTCTATAGGTCATTTTTGCAGATACTGAGACATTTTCGGTATTTAATTTGACATTAATTCCGTCAGCCAGCCATGACAGGTTGAGAGTGACGTACCCAAATTTGATTTTCGGTAGTGAGGTGCCACCACGCCCACATCGGATATGGGGCCGACCTATCGTTTTCAGTGGGTACAGGAAGATTATCCCCCGATGTTATACTACCCGGAGCACGCCTCAGTTAAGAATGCATGGAAATTATCTCCTCTCCTCGATACGTTTTCGTGACGGGGGTACTTAATTAAGCACTGAGGAAGTTCGTATTTTTCCTAGCGATCGCCAAACCGTTTTGTTTTGTTGTTTTAAAATTTTTATCCAGAATCGGCCCTGACTGACTACTTTGATGTCATCTGTGAGGATAGGATTCGGTGGTGGCCGACGGTTGCCACTTCACCGGAGTTTAAAGAGGCTTGTAGACAGGGAGAACAATTTTTCGACAGACAGTCGAGGTGTTACGTGATAGAAAGATGTTATTCTTCTGAGTTGTAACGCCATCTGGACTTGCAGATAGATAAGAGCGTTGCAGATAAGTTGCTTATGTCTCGAGGGCGTTAAAACACGGAATAACATCGACATTTTTTACCGTCTTGAGAACTTCGAATTTGATACATGTGCCATTTGTTCGTCATTTACAAAAAAAAAAGTAATACGATACCTGGGCGTATGGTCTGTGATCTGGCATAAGATGGAGTTTAAATTTAGATTCAAATTTTAATCATAGTGGAGCTTCGGCTATGAGCGATGCTAGTGGCTACCTGAAATGTCGGGAGTTTATTTATAACATGTTACTGTTCTGTTTTCGCGACGCAGTTAAACTGTGTATAAGAGTACCTCAGTCTGACGGGACACTGGACTTTTTTTA